TTAACTAAAAATTCCAACAAACTTTTGTAAGAAAGCAGATAGAGGTGAAATGTCTGAATTAGAAGTTAGTATGAATGCAGTATTTTTTTCTCATCTTTAAGGACATTACAATAGTTGATTTTTTTTCTTCTTTTTAATTAGTTGTTTCCACTGGGTGCCTTTTTCCTTGCTTTTCTCATTAACCATCTAAAGTTTTCTAAGCATTGATTACTAAAGGAAAGAAACTTCTGAATATGATAAAATGAAAGGGCAAAAGGTATCCAGAGCAAACAGAGCCAATTAAAATAGAAGAAAAATTGTAATTAATGTCTTTAGAAATGAGAAGATGTTATATCCATAAATAAGTATAGGATGCTATGAAAAAGGAATAAACAAAAGAACACTTGGAATTTAAAAATAAGGTACCATAAAAAGTTATCTAAGAATTTGAAGATAATATATAATATCCTCCTGAGAGAAGCACTAAGAGATAGTGAGAAGTGAAACAAAATACTGTTTTCCTAACAAAAAAATGTTAGTAATATTTGACTTTAAAAAAAAAAAAAAAGCTGGGCACGGTGGTGCACACCTGTAATCCCAGCAGCTGAGGAGGCTCAGATAGGAGAATCAAGAGTTCAAAGCCAGCTTCAACAACACCGAGGCTCTAAGCAACTCAGTGAGACCCTGTCTCTAAATAAAATACAAAATAGGGCTAGGGATGTGGCTCATTGGCCGAGTGCCCCTGAGTTCAGTCCCTAGTACCCTCCCCCCAAAAGACCTTCAGTTTCCTCCCCCCAAATCTGTCCTTCATTTCCATATTCTCTTTCTCTGCCAATATTATTACCAATTATCTTACCAATTTGTTCTAAACAGCCCTGCAAGTTCTGCTTCTGATGGATCTTTCAAACATCTCCTTCCAACCCTATTAGCCTTGTCTGATCCTCACTCACCTCTCCCTGAAATAGTTCCACAGTCTTATTACTGGTGGCTCTGCCTTTGGTCTCTACCCATCCAAACCATCCTACTACAGGCATACTTTTGAAAGTTGTTCATGCCTGTAGTAACCTCCTGAAAATACTGTTTTCCCTCTGAAACTTTGAGGCTTGATACTGGTAGATAGGTATCTTCCCCACCTACCTTATTTCCAATCAACTTCATCCCCACTTCTTCCTGAAAACTGCCAGATATTTTGAAGATTATTTCATCTGACCATACTAGCCCATACTGTTCCTCTTGACTGTCATTTGGCTAAGACATGACCTCAATTCACTGAAATTCTAGTATCTGGCTTACTGTCTTCCTCTTTTCCACTACTTGTGCCACATTTTTGGCAATTTTAGTACCCATCTTTAAAAATAATAATCTTCTTCCTCATACTGTGGCATCCCAAATTCTTAATTTCCTCATCTCTCTCTCTCTCTCTCTCTCTCTCTCTCTCTCTCTCTCTATATATATATATATATATATATATATATATATATATATATATATATATATTTATATCTGGACCACCCACTGCCATGGTTATACTCTGGATATCGTCACTGCCACTCTCTACCACAAGCTCCTATCTCTCCAGCCTCCTTCCAGTTCACCCAACCTTTGTGACATCTTAACAAACACTTTTCTATTAAAGATCTCCTCCTCTTTTTCACCCCTCTTTACCCATCCTTTGTGAAACATCATGTTCCAGAACTATAATCACTCCCTGAAAACTCTTTAACTGCTTTGTTCCTCTTTCTCTCCATCCAACTGTCTACTTGTCTAATCCTGAATAAACCTTACTCTGGGCCTAAATCCACATAGCTAAACTCTTCTCCAGAAATGGAGAAAAACATGATAGAACAATGCTAATTGGTTTTACCCTATAACCAAAAATATCAAATGGAAAGCACCATTGCCAATTAGCTCTTCTGATATCTCTAAAAATTCTGTTTTTCCCTCTCCAAAATGCTTATTTCTCTATTACTTTTCCTCCAACTTATAATAACCTATTCAATTTTTCTGCAGATGATCTTGCCTTTCCTTCATACCTCACAGAGAAGCAAGAAACCACATGACAAGAATTACCTACTTCAACTTCCTATAATACTCTCAATCCGGCTACATTTGAATCCATGAACAATGTGCTCTTTATTAAAATAGAAGAAATTTCCTTACTTTTATATAGGCCACCATTTTTGCTATTTAAGAACTGCATTTCTCAAATCATCCCTAATCTCTCCTAAATCTTCAAGTCGCCTTTCAACTATAGCATTACCATCAGCAGAAACACACTTAATATCACCCATCTAATACAAAACAAACAAAGTGACCTTGACCTTACATTCCCTTCCAGCTCATATCCCATTTAGCTTTTCCTTTCACTATAAAACTTTTGGAAAAAGTGGCTTTAACTTATGGGCTCTGCTTTCTTACCTCAGATTCTCTATGAAGTCTATTTCATTATAGTTTCATTCCAGGTTTTTTTTTTCATATTTATTATATAGGAAAGGAAACAAATCTGATTGTAAAGCTTGAACCTTAATCTCTTGGGCTCTGATCCATATTCTGTGATTTACTATCAATAAATGCAATATAACATCTCTGTATCTCAGTTTCCTCAAGTATAAAATGAAAATAATGAAAGTAACTATTTGTGAGGATTAAATAACACATATGAAAGCATAAGAATACCAGGACTATAGAAATAATTCAATACATGTTCACTATTGTGTTCAACAAGAACCTTCCTTCATCTTACCAAATCCAATAATGAAGGCTTTTCCTTGTCTTAGTTCTCAAGAGGCAGTAGAGAGAGTTCACAACTCACTTCTATTCATGGCTCCTGTGACATCACACTCTATTGTGTTTCTTCTAGTCTACTGGCTGCTGATTCAGGATTTGGTGACTGTCTAAAAATTGGAATATTCAACCCACCCTTCTTACTATCTAAACTCTACCTAGGTATTCTGATCAAGTTTCATGTTTTTAAATACTATCTATGTGCTGATGTTGCTCAAATTATATCTCCAATCCTGGCTTTCTTCTGAGCATCAGACACATATTTAACTACCATCTCCACTAGGATATTAAGTTGGTACTGAAAACCTAACAAATCCAGAACTGAATTCTTAAAGACCTCCCTCTTTCTTCATCTCAGCCCATAAATCTGCTCTATAAATCTTTCTATTTCTGTTATAATTATCATTATTTACATAGTTATCAGGCCAAATAACTAGAAGTCATATCTGACTCTTCCTCCTTCTCAATCTTCCAAATAATAGCAGCCCTGTTTGCTCCATCTCAAAAATATAACTCAAATACATCTCTATTTCTTATTACTGCTGCCATCTTAATCCAAGTTATCATGATCTCTTTGCTAGATGATAAAAAATCTTCTAAACATTTCCTTCCTCCCATTCTCCCCTCCCCCCAATTAAGTAATTTTCTTCAGAGCAGCCAGTGTAATTTCAAAGAATAAACCAGACCTTATCAATTCCCTGTTTAAAATCTTCAGAGGCAATTACAATTAAATCCAGGCGCAGTGGTGGACAGCTATAATTCCAGCAACAAGGGAGGCTGAGGCAGGAAATCACAAGTTTGAGGCTAGCCTCTGCAAGTTAGTGAGGCCCTAAGCAACTTAGTGAGACAATGTCTCAAAATAAAAATATAAAAAGGGCTGTGGATGTGTCTTAGTAGTAAAGCACCTGTAGGTTCAATCCCCAGGACTAAAAAAAGAGAAAGAATAAAATTCAAACTATTGATATCTATTGAACTCAGGATACTACACTGAAATGATTAATGACTGAAAAGTCTTGCTAGAATAGTTATAGTTAACAGTTAATCTCAGCTGTGAAATAGAATGTTTATTAGATATAACAACTACATGTGAAACCCTCAGAAATTCAGATACTTCAGATACACATCTCTCTCTCTCACACCCACCCACACACAGAGTTATATAAAGCCAAAATTGCTTTTATAGAGAAAATGCACTTATATTTTTTAACAGAAAAATATTGCTACCCTGAAAAATTCTACATTTTCTCTATAAAGGCAAATTTACTCAAATAGAACGATTATCTAGAAGTTTTACTATTTCAGGAGTTCTAAGAAATATGGTCAAGGGTCACAAGGGCCAGAAACATAGCTCAGCATAGCTCAGTGAGTATGAGGCTCTAGGTTCAATCCTTAGTACTGCATAAAAACAAACAAACAAACAAACTAAACCTAAATCTCAGCAACATTTTGACTAAACTAACCCTATTGATTGCTAACAAATTATTCTATGTTTAGAAGTGCATTTTTCTAAAGTCGTGATTACATGATTACACTTTAAAAATTCTGTTATCCTTGCATTGTCCAACATATTACCTGATCACCAGAAACTTGGCCAGTGACTAATCTGGCAAAAATATGGAATATATTCTAAATAGAAATCACTTTAAAGTGAATAAATTTTCATTTCTTTCTCAGGCCCTAAAAAAGATAACAGGCTTTTCCTAAAAAGCATATTTAATAAAATTTAATACAAATTGTGTGCTATTTTAGTAATCATTTCAACTTTTATCCTTAAAATGTGTTTATTAATAAGATCTGTGATTTCAACCTCAGCAACATAAAACTTAACAATTAACATTTCAATATTAAAAAATAATGTAATGACAATCCTAATTTCAAAGCTAACAAAGAAGTACAATTAATGTGTAAGTATTTTTACAAAATAAAGCACAATATTACTAAGGTCTCAAGATTATGACACATCAATCTAAGATGCAGAGCGTAAAACAATGTATTTAGATTTTCCTTTGAAAGTCCCAACTCTTATTTCTGTAACAAAATAAACTTTTACTCAGTTATTTTTAAAATATCTAAATGGGAAAAGTATACTAAAAGCCATCAACAAAGACTGTTTTTGATTATTCTTGGTTTCTAACCCATTTAGAAAAGCATGCAGTTTAGAAATGCATATTTGGACAAATTAATCTTAATGTTATGTTCTTGAACATAAACATCAGCAAACAATATAGAGTATGAAATAATACAGGAAAAATTTTTGGTTTTATGGGTATTACAGTGTGGTTTTAATACAAGCTAAACATAAGCACAATTGTTAGATTTATCATGCAAAACAATATGCCAAGATCAATCTTAAAAGAAAAACCAAAACATAAAAAATACCTTTCTCAATTAATCCTTCAGACTCCATATAAAATACAAAAATTAGTATGTCAATAATCACATCAAGTACTAATTTGCTGATTGAGAGGTAAAAAATCTTTTTGATTTCAAAATTAAATAGCTTCGGGTAAAAAGCATAGTATTTTCCACATATACTATCTTTCCATTTTGCACAGAGTTCCAAGGCAAAGATTGCTTCTGGCTTTATGAATTACCAGAGATGACCTGTGTGGCTGACTTATCACAGGTCTTTTATTCTTCTTTCCTGATAGTTCCTTAGCTTCTTTGGGAGGTGGCATATGAATTGGTTTCCATGGAATTGGATTACAAAAGGCTGGTTCTGGATAGGAAGTTCCACTGTAAAAACCTACAATCATTGAAAAATCAGAACAAAACAAAACAACTAAACTTCTTGAGAACAATTACTTATTTTAAAATTTAAAATAGTTTTTTTTTTTTTTAAAAAACTAACACTTTCAAATATAGTAATGTAGTAAAAGATAATTCTGAGAAGCCAAGCAATATTATTAAAACATACAAAAAATAATGCTGAGAACCCAAATAATATTGTTAAAATCTATGCAAATAATAATACTGCAAAGGTTTTACTATGGAATTAATTTCAGAACCATAAAAATTGAATAAAACCTTCATTTTCTTAACCCTATCTAGGAAATGACTTATTTGTGAACTAGTTTCCCCTTGTCAGAGACTAAAATTTACAGAAAAATTTATTTTGCTTATACAGCTAAAGTGAATCAAGATTTTTGTTTAGAACCAGGGAATTTTGATTTATTGTTATTCAAGTTAATAAGATTTCACAGAATCAGTGTAATTTTATTACTAATTAGAGAGCAACTTTTGATGAACATACTGTTTAAAAATTGTGATGCCTGACAATAATAACTATGTGAAGGAAGAACATTCTGTAAATTATCTTCAAATCCTTTGGTCATTATAGGCACACAAATTCCTTTATTTCATAATTTATAAAAATGATAGGATAAAGAATAAAGACTTAAGGGAAGTACAGCATGCAGACAAATATGGATGCTTATTAGAATGAAGGGAAGGGATGGGGATAGGAAAAGAAAAGAGTGAAATGAATTCAAAATAATTTTCATATAAATGTATATAAATACACCATCATGTACATCCATAAGAATTGGGTTCTAATTAGAATAAGATATGTCCCATATTTGTATAGTTATATCAAAATGAATTCTACTGTCATGTATAACTAAAGAGAACCAATAAAATTAAAAAAGAATTAAACTCATTTAAAAAGCAAAGTAATTTAATAAAATAGTCCCTTGTTTTAGCAATTAATTTCTAGTCAATATGTATATTCTCACCTAAAGTCTTAGCTTTACTATCTAATCTTTAGGTTAAAATCACTGCTTATTGACCTTTTCTTAAGCAAGAAAGAAAGAGAGGGAGGGAGGGTGGCAGGGAGGAAGGTGGGGGGAGGAGGAGGAGGAGAAGGAGGAGGAAGAAGCCATCCTCAGTAGCTAAAATGGATTAATGGATATAATGGATGACCTCTATGACATATAAGAGAGGCCTAATCCTGACAGCAGGAATGTGTCTTTCAGACTCTGGCAGCCCACTTTGACTGCATAATATGTCAACACACACTTCACCAAGATGGTCAAAACAAAGTCTGGAATATGTTCCATTGTGTGAACAAAACAGAATGGGAGTATTTTTAATAATAAATCATTTAAACAAGTGAAGGCAGCTGTCATCAAGGTATGAGCTTTCAACATAAAGCACAAAGAAAAACAGGCAATGCCATTTATCATCAGACCAAGCCTAAAGGCCAATTGGTTCTGTTTGGTCATGTGCTATCTATATCCCACCCTGTAAAAAGAATGTGCCAAAGACACTGGAAGCTCTGCCTTAGAGAAGGTTAGAAAAAGGGTAGGCAAGATGAACCCTTAAACACATCCTGAGTAAGGCTTTTTCATCCAAGAATGTAAGAGCACTACCAGGGATGCTAGCAATTGAACCCAGGGCCGTATGCATGCTAAGGACATGCTCCGTGACTGAACTACAACTCCATCCCTGAGAATTTAACTTATTTCCTAATGTTAGAAATCATTGCTTAAAAGTGTAAGTTTGCAGTTTTACAACCATTACCTTTATATATCATTTATGGAGAATGAATAAATTCCTACCAACATAGTATAATTTTCTAAAAGATAGTAATTTGAAAGAAAAATAAATTTTATAAGTTTCTATTTCTGTGAAAAAGAAACAAAATGTATAAAATTTGCTTCTGCAAACCATACTTATGTAAGCCACATAACATAAAAACTAACCTGTAAGTTTTCCATTGGCATAACCATAGCTCTTTACAGCTGGACGAGGTTTACTTTTTGCATTTTCCAACCATTCCTTAAACTTTTTATCTGCTATTTCCTTTTTCTCTTGTAATTCGGCTTGCCGTTGTTTTTCTTTTTCCTTAAAATGACAAGACCAAAGCATTTCCAAGGATATTCTATAACTAAACATTCCATTCAAATTCTACTGAGTCTTTTCTCCCAGTTGCTTCCTCTCTCAATGGCTTACTGGCCACAATATTGAATTATATTTCTATAATTTGAGAGTAAAACTGAACATGATCAGGGATGTGATATTAATGTGTCTTCCTCTAAACAATAAGATATCAAATCCAAGAAAAAAGAAAGCAATCCGCCTTCTTTTTAAAGTAATTTATTATACAGTAATATGACTAGATAAAAGTATATTGAAAAATATTTAAAACAACTAACAACAATTTTGAATATGACTGAAAAATATATAGGCTTATTGAAATTACTCAATGTAAGGAAACCAAAAATACATATTCATTTTGAAGCTTAAAGACAGCATAATATAAGTAAGGATAGTTTCATATCTTTATGCTATGATACGGTCAATTTTCTAATCATCTACTTTTTTCTAAAATATAGTTGGCACCTAGGAACACCAAAAACATATATTCTAACTGGCTACTTTAATAAAAATACCTTTTCTTTCTTCTTCTTCTCACATTCTTCAGCAATTTTTTTCTTTAACCATTCTTGATATTTTTCTTTTGCTTTTTCTTGCAAATGTTCTTTCTCTAGTTCTTTTGCTGCTTTCTCCTCCATTTCCTTATTCATTTTTTGTTCTCTTTCTTTCCTTTTCTTAAATAAAAATAGAAATTTTCATTGAAATACCTGTAATTATTCTGACATAAGGAAGGATTGTTATATGCAATAATTTTCTAAACTTCTATTATTCTTAAAATAAGTGGTGTAACAGTGGTTGGCACATGTGGTTTATGAGAATATATAACATACTGCAATTACTTGTTCAATGTCAATAACAGGTAGTTACTGCTTGGCTGTAAGTTTCATTAGGACACTGACAAAGATCTTGCTCATCAACGTATACCTGCGACTGGGATAGTGCTGAGTAAACAATAGGTGCTCAATAAATATTCTTTAAATAAATTAGTGAATAAATATTACTATCTGTTAGACTGCTGAATCCTAGTATTTTTAATGGATGTTTACCCTCATGTATATAAACATTTCCTAGATAGACAACTTGTCAATACAAATACTTGGATAAGTATTCACCAAAAGTGAGTTATAGAGTTCAAATGAATAATGCCTGCTGAAGATTGCATATAAGGACATAATTGAGCAAATCTTTAGGTATACTGTTTTATATAGATCAGAGGCTTGCAAACAAGGCTAAATGTCAAATTCGGCCCACAGGCCACCTATTTGTAAACAACATTTTATATAAGTATGGCCAACTCATTTTGCTTATATATTTGCATATGGTTTCTTTTACTCTACAATAGCAAATTTGAATAATTGCCACAGAGACTGCATAGCATAGGCAGAAAACCTGAGATGTTTAAGATCTGGCCCTTTTCAGAAAAAAAATTATTTTTTGACATAGACTATAACTCAATGCTTTTCTTCTCCTTACTCAAATGATAACCTACCAACTGTAGTTAAATTCTAAATAAATAATGGCATGGATAGTTCTCTTTATCAAAGTTTTAGAAATTAATCTGAAAGGTATAAAAGGAATATGGAATACAAATATATATACATGTCAGTTTTCATGGAGCAAAGAAAGATGATCCAAAAAGAGAAATTCCTTCCCTGAAAGTATCTTGTAAAATACTGTATTATAAATTAACACCCAATTAACAAACATCAGTTATATACAATATATGTCCTTTTCAGTGCTGTGCAGCACAAGCAAGTCTTGAAAATCAGGGCTTGCACCATTCTTCAAGTTGATATATTTCTTTCTTGCTGAGCAGCCAATAGCTGTGAAAAGGAATCTTTTCACAACAAAACCTCAATAGCTGGAACAATAATGGATTTTAATTACTCCTCACTGGCAGAAAATCTACAAACTGAAAATGGTCTTGGAATATATCTCTTTTAATCTGTGTGATTTATGACTCTCCTGCCTAACCTCACCAACAAGAAATCATCTAGTCCCTACTATGTTTTCAATGACAAAAACTAACACTTCATTGGTATCTATACCTCACACTATTCTACATACTTTATTATACATATGGACCATCAGTTAATTCTTACAATCCCAGTATGGGGTAGGTACTATTATTATCCTATTTACAAAGGAGGAAAGGAAGGCACAAGAGGGTAAGTAATTTGCTTAAGATCACACAGTAAGTAGTAGATCACTATAGATCACAAAGACTTCAAAATGGAAGAATGCTAAAAATAATGTTATGCCAAAAAATTTAAACTGAAGTGAAATGTCAAACCTCCTTAAAACATACTTCTTCTCAAAATTAATTCAAGAAGAAATAGTAGTATATAACCATTTATTATAAAACAATTCAAAATTTAAAAATTTACCACAAAGTACTCTAGCTTCTGATAGCTTCATTGGTAGTTTGCAATGTACATTTAAGGAAGAAATAATACGAAATGACTACACAAATTAATTTTATGTTACAAGATAATATCAGAAACAAGGCAAGATAACTGCTCTATAGCTCAAAATGTGAAATAATTAGAAATGCATGTAACAAATGATGCATAATACCATCATTAAAAACTAAATAAAACTGATGAGAAATAAGAAAAATAAATGGAAAGAAAAACATATTCATAGATTTTAAATTTGATATTACTAAGAGCCATTTTCTCCAAAACGATCTACACATTTAACAAAATCCCAATAGTGCCAGGCAATATTCAAGCAGGCATAATTAGCAAATCTGATAATCAGATGCTGAATTACATATAGAAAGGTGCAAAGGAACTAAAATAAGTTTGGAAAAGAAGACAAAAGTTGATTTATATATCTATTTTTTAAAAACTATAAGTTCAATAATTATAGAGCTGTAGTAACAAGTTATTACTGCTGATACAGGATATAAATCAATAGAAGAGAATAGAATTCAGAAATATATCTATATATGTGTGTGTGTGTGTGTGTGTGTGTGTGGGTGTGTGTGTATCGTCAATTGATTTTAAACAAAGTGCGAAGGTAATTTGATAGGGAAAGGATTATCTATTCAATTAACAGTGGAACAATTGAATATATGTATGCAAATGAATGAACCCCAACCTTTAACTCAACCAGATATTAAAATGAACTCAAAATAAACATACAGGTAAAGCTGAAGTTATAACTTCTAGAAGAAAACGATAAATATTTTATACTCTTGAATTACACAATGTTTCTTAAATAAAGACATACAAACCATAACCATAAAAGAAAAAATTAAATATGGAATATTGTCAAAATTTAAAACTTGTGTTCTTTAAGTTGGGCACAGAGGTGCGTGCCTATAATCCCAGGAGGCTGAAACAGGAGGATCACAAGTTCAAGGCCAGCCTCAGCAACTTAGGGAGGCCCTACACAATTTAGCAAGATTGTGTCTCAAAAAAAAAGGATGGGGATATATCTAAGTGGTAAAGTCTACATGGGTTAAATCCCCAGGGAAGGAAGGAAGGAAGGAAGGAAGGAAGGAAGGAAGGAAGGAAGATCATTCTGCTCTTTAAAATATAGTATTCAGAAAAATTAAATGGGCCATGAGTGATGGCATACACCTGTAATCCCAATGACTCAGCAGACTGAGGCAGGAGGATTTCAATTTCAAAGTCAGCCTCAGCAACTTAGCAAGGCCCTCCTAAGCCACTTAGTAAGAACCTGTCTCAAAACAAAAAATAAAGAAACTGGCTGGAGATGTGACTCAGTAGTTAAAAATCCCTGGATTTAGTCCTTGGCAAAAAAAAAAGAAAGAAAAAAAATTAAATGGGAGAAAATATTTGCAATGCATTTATCTGACATTGGACTTGTGGTCTGAATATATAAAGAATTCAAAGACTGGGGATTAGCTCATTGATAGGTGCTAGACTAGCCTGAGTGAGGCCCTGAGTTCAATCCCCAGCACCACATTAAAAAAAGAAAAGAAAAAGTGAAGAGAAATGTACAAAATTCACCCAGTGTCACATGTACCTATATTCCCAGCTACTTGGGAGACTCAGACAAGAGGATCACCTGACAAGCCCAGGAATTTGAGGTCAACCGGGATAACAAAGTGATATCACCAAGATCCTCATCTCAAAAAAAAAGAAAAAAGAAAAAAGAAAGAATAATTCCTACATGTCTTTTGATGGAGAAAGGAGACTTGTTGAGGACTGAACCCAGAGCCTGCTAAGCATGCTCTCTGCCACTAAGTTTTACTCAACCGTGAATTCTTACAAATTCTTATATCTTAATAAGAAGTCATATAACCCCTTCAAAAAATGGGCAAAAGACTTAAACTGACACAAAACAAATCCAAAAGAAGCTAACAACAAATGTAGCTCAGTTGTAGAATGCTGCCTACTATGGTCAACAAGTATAATAAACTGAATTATGTCCCTTCACCTCCTATGTTGAAGGCCTATCTCCCAGTGTGAGGAGATAAAACCTTCCAATAGTAAATCAAACTTAAATGAGGTCTTAATCCAATAAGACTGAAGTCCTTTAAAGAGGAAAATACACCAAAGATATGTGTGCACAGAGAAAAAGCCAGAAGACAAGCCATCTGCAGGCCAGAGACCTAAAGAGAATCCAAACCTGCAGACACCTTCATCTTGATTTCCAGTCTCTGGGATGTGAGAAAATTTTCTGTTGTTTAAACCACCCAAGTCTGTGGTATTTGGTTATGGCATCCCTGAAAGACTAATACAATGAGCTTATAAAAAGATGCGAAACAGCATTAGATCTCATGGAAATGAAAATTAAAACAATGGCATATACTATACACACACTGGAAGAACAAAAATGAAAGACTGACATTACCAGGTTTGCCAAAGATGTAAAATATTTGGAACTTTCATAAATAGTCATGGGAATATAAATTGGTATAAGCACCTGAGAAAATACTTTGGCAATTTCTCATAAACACATTCTTACCACATAGTCCAGCAATTCAGCTCCTAAACATTTACCCAAAACAAATGAAAACAAATGTCCACAAAAGACTTGTATATAAATGGTCAGATAATTTTATTCATAATATCTCCTAATGGAAAGCAATCCACTGACCATCAACTAGTGAATGGATAAACAATTTGTGCTATTCCATGGGAGACTACTCATCAATAAAAATGAATCTACAACATATGAAATATCAGGATATATTTAAAAACAAAAGAAGTCCAACACAAAGAAGTCCAACAATTCTTTCATTCTGCTTTTAAGAAAGTATAGAAAGTACAATCTTATATACAGAATAGAAAGATAACCAAGATATTTAGAGCTGGGGCTGGCTATGGGAAGGGGAATGGGGGTTGGATGTGAAGGGAACTTTCCGGAGTGATGAAAATGTTGTATTATCTTGAGTGTGGTGCTTATTAATCATACAGGTATGTACATCTGTCAAACTCATAAACTTAAAATAGGTGTATTTTATTGCACAGCAGGCAGTCAGAATAGTCACTGCTACTGAGAAAGCAGTCAGCCATTAAGTGGCTTCGGATTTTCTAGCACACTGGTTCTATATCACAGAGGACAATAATTAATCTTCCTTTTCTAAAATGGTGCCCTGAAAGAACCTTTGTTTCTTACAAGTAAAAGAAATGAACAACTGGCTACTTAAAGTTTTTGACTTTCTATTTTAATTCTTCTAATAGGGCCTACTTGGCACATAGAAAAAGCTAAGTAAACATTTGTTGAAAGCATGATTGATACACTGATAACAGTGTTATCAATCATACACCTTGTTGATTTGAATTAAGTCTTTCAAATAAAATATCAGTGTGTTTTGAGAATTAAAAACAATTTTATTTTTAAATAACTTTTTAAAACATTGAAAGTAGAAGTCTTTTTCAAAATTTGTATTAATGTGTAAAAAATTAATCTGGAAAATAATTTAGCATAGCAACACAAATATTAAGTGTACTCAATGAGATAAGATATTTGTTTTAAAAGAATTTCACAATTTATAGTCATATTAGAAGAAAGCAATCTTACTAATGTATACATAAATTATTTTGTCTGATTTTTTGATAAAACACAGTGAAAATGACTTAGAGAAAATAGCAGCCCAAGATACAACTAAAATGAAGCTAGAGGCAGCAGAGGACCACACACCATGAAATGTAAACAGAAAGCTAGATGCCAGACAGGAAGAGAAGAACCAGGAGAGCAGTCTTTACAAATACAGGTAAATGTAACTAAGGCTGAATAAGAAATCTGATAGTTTTTAAGAAAAAAAAAAAAAAAAGGAGGGATCAATTATTCTTTAACATGCACAAGAATGCTGCAGAATAGGTAAATTAATTTTTCAGGGTTTATCTCTGAATCATTTTCTACCTTATGGAATCTTGCTTTCAATAATTAGTGATTTATGTCATGGCAAGCCACTTACTCCCAAAAGAATTTTTTCCTCAAAAATAATTGGATTAGGTCTACTACCACTAACTAAAACAGTGAATATATATCATATATCCCTCAGAAGCATCTTACATTCTTAGGAAAAACAACAATTATGTTTGATTGGCATGGTAAAATTAGCTTAATGAAGTTAGAAGATAAGAGAAGCTTCTAGAGGAGAGAGCACATCATACATGGAGAACTATTTTTATATAAACTTCAAAAAGGTGTCAACCAAAATTTTGTAATGGTCATATAGACTTATTTTGATTGTGACATTTATTCAAAGTACTCTTTTGGGGATGAAGTAAACAAACACAATTCATAGTAATTGATTTCTAAACAAACACAATCCAAGTAAGGATCAAATACTTTTATGGTTATAATACACACACACATACACACAGACACCTCTCTAACCAATTTCCTTCTAATGCCTGGATGATGAAGATTATGTTATCTTCAACTTACTGAAATTATTTGATACTCATAATAATATCACTTGGCATCAGATTCAACAATAGGTAAGGACAAAAACTATAATTAAAAATTTAAAACTTTTTCCTATAATTTGAGCATTTATCTAAATTCATAGTTATATTTTAATAATAAAATCAGTATCATTCTAAACATACAAAATCACAATAAAAAAAAAGTGATAGCAGAGTAAATTTTTTTTAAATGGGGGTTGGGGGGCAGTATTAGGGATTCCACTCAAGCCCTCGTGCATGCTAGATAAGCAGTCTATCACAGAGCTACACCCTCCCCTAGACCTTTTTTCATTTCATTTTGAGTCAGGGTCTCAGAAAATTGCCCAGACTGGCCTCAACTTTGTGATTCTCCCATCTCAGCTTCTGAAGTAGTTGGAGTCAACAGGCATGTGCCACCATACCCAGCTATTTTAAAATTTCTAATGTATCAGGCTGGGGTTGTGGCTCAGTGGCGGAGCACTTGCCTTGTACATGTGAGGCACTGAGTTCGATCCTCAGCACCATATAAAAATAAATAAACAAAATAAAGACCTTTTTAAAAAAAATTTCTAATGTGTGATCCAAAATAAGAATGTATTAAAATTGAAAGTAGGGATATGAAGGAGAGCTCAATGGTTGCATGCTAGCCTAACATGCTTAAGGCCATGGGTTCAATTAGCACCACAAATTAAAAAGTAATAATAATAATAATAACAACAACAACAACAAGAAAATTGAAAGGAAGAATAGGAATATAGCTCAGTGGTAAAACCCAGCATGAGTGAAAACCTAGTTTTGATCCCCAGCACTGCAAAAAAAAAAAAAAAAAAAAAAGAAAAAAGAAAATTCATTCACTCATTCAATTAACAAATGCTTACTATATACAAAGAATTATAAACCTTGTAATGGATAAAAAATAATATAAAAAAGAATTCTTGTTCTTAAGGATCTTAAAATTACCGGAAAGCAAAGGGATATACATACTACAAAACAGCCATTTTTTTCTTTTTTATAAAACATACACAAAATACAAAGCATCATATGATAAAGTGCTATAAAAGTTAATATAAATTGAACAAAAATTCACAGGAAAGAATCTTTAACATGTGAACAGCCAATCTGCATGAAGGAAATAATCTGAGTTGGATGACAAATGGAAAAGTAGAACAGAGGATATGATGAGATCCCATCCTGATAAAATATCATATGTAAAAATTAGGAAATGAAAAATAGTAAGAAGATAAGTATTTTCAAAATTTCTCAAGAATACATACTCTTGAGGCCTGGGCAGTACAGCCGAAAGCTCAAGATTTCTAGGAAATTTATTTGTATCTTAAAAATAATGTAAAAAAATTTAGTGCTCTCTTAGTATATGCAAGGCCCTGGGTTTGATCATCAACACTTTGAAAAATAAAATAAAAATAAAACTTACAGTCTACTTCTTTATATACCTATGTTTGCTTTACTATAAAAATATAACATTTTCCTCTCAAAAAATTTCCAGTAAAACTAATACTCCAAGAAGATGGGGGGCGGCTGTGATTATCTTGTGTGTGCTCCCTAAATAATCCCAGTAAAAAGAAACAGCATAGAATAAAGAGAAAACAGATGGCAGACGTGGCTGAAATGCTACTTTGGCTCAGGGAATAGAGTGGAGGCTCCTTAACCAGTCAGTCTAGAGTTGTTAAAATCTCAGTCAGAAGACAGTACAGGTGTGGAACATAAAAAAAATTTTTTAGACTTAAGGAATGACAGTCAGATCTATTCAACAAAGATTAATCTGGCAGAGACATACAGGAAGGGTTTATTCATTTGACAAATATTCCTGGGTACCTCTAATGTATTGTAATGGATAAGCTATTGGAGAACTGAAAAAAAGAAGCAAAATTCCTGATCTTGTAAGAACTTATATCCTAGTGTGGAGAAGTAAACAATAAAGTTGAAGGAAGTAATGAGACCATTCAGAAAATAAAAGAGAAGCAGCAATTATATATAGTAAAGGAGGGGATGTTTTGGAGCAACAGATTTCTTATTATTCTTAGGTGACTGAAGACACAGTAGAAGTAATAGAAATAAAGGAATAATAGGAAAGAGTCTATGAAGAGGAATGGGGCAAAGGTACTTTTTTTTAGGTGTACACATTTGGAGTTGCCTGCTGACCTAATGGATAGAAATCCAAGACTCAAAAAATTCAAGTCTAAAGATTCAGACTTGGTAGGGCTCGTGTCGTAGCTCAGTGGCAGAGCACTTGCCTAGCACATGTGAGGTGCTGGGTTCCATCTTCAGCACCACATAAAAATAAATAAATACAATAAAGGTACTGTGTCCATATACAACTAAAAAAATATATTAAAAAATATTTAGAATTGCTGAATGCAGGCAGACACTAGTAGAGGTCACAGGGACAGAAAAGAACAAAATTAGAGGGCATCCAGGCTCTGTAGTGCATGCCTTTAATCCCAGTGACTCAAGGGGACTAAGGCAGGAGGATGGCAAGTTAGAGGCAGTCTCAGCAACTTAGTGAGACCCTGTTTCAAAACAAAATAAAAAGGGCAGAGATGTAGTTCAGTGGTAAAGTATGCCTGGGCTCAATCCTTAGTACCAAAAACAAAAGAGTAAAGGGCAAAGGGCAGAAGACAGAGACTTGATAAATATTCATGAGGGTAGGGGTAAAAAACAAAAGCAAAACCCCAAAGAAGAAAGAACCTAAGAGAAATATAAGAAAAACCTAGCTAAGGACTAATTGGAAGAAAGACTTTGAAAAGAGATGTTAGGATATGTGCATGCATTTTTTTCCTTTTTACCTGTTCATTCTTTTTCTGAACCCATTCCTTGTGCTTTTCTTCAGCAATTATCTTTCTTTTTTCACGTTCTTCCATTTTTTTTCTTTTTTCTAGTTGTTGATTTAATTCCTGTGGATTTCATTTAAACAAAAGGCAATGTTTAATGGAAGTACCCAAATCACATATTTTTAAAAAGGCTGAGCTTAACCAAATTAAACAAGAATATAGTTTCCATTATAGAATATATACCACTACTGATAATAACTTACTTAAGTAACTAGTCTACAATGAAAGAAAGCATTGGTAAAAAGTATAAGTCATTTTTTAGAAATGCAAATAATTGCTTGGCAGCAAAACACTAGTTTCTTAGACTAAACTTCAGCTAAATTACCCTCATTGAAATCAACTTTCCCACACATAAATTTTGGCACCACTGTAAGCTATTGGCAGTAGCTCAAGAGAATTGCAACTTTTTTTTTTACAGTTATAAAAAGCTTCAAGATTCTTGCTGAAGATAAAGAATAGGAATTAAGTAATCCCTAAATTAAAATTTTAATTCAGAGTTACACCAAAGAAGAAATGTAAAGAAGGTAATCAGTTTTCCATAGAGAAAAAAAGAATCAGAGTTTTCTTCACAGATTTTATAGCTGCTGGGATATAAAACAAAACCACATTCATACCCCAGATTATTTAACTGCCTTGCTGTCACCAGAATCTACACGTCTGGGCATTTCCTCAGGAGAAAGAATGTGGAAGGTATGGCCAAATAAAACTACAAGTTGAATGCCACCACTCTGTCACTCATCAGCTAAATTATGGCATTAGTTGAGAAAGCTGTTCAAACTAGACTTCTCTAGGACTCTACAATCATAATTACTGGTTAGTTTTCTTCCTTCCTTAGATACTAATAATCAGATACATTTATGAATCTTCCATTGGTCCCCCTTTCTCCTTCCCATCTTTCCTTTCTCCCCAAACACTTACCTCAATGGGCAATTTTCCAACTCTCAGGTTAATTCCAGGGTCTTAAATGAAGATAAAACTTTACACCAAGAACATATTTTTTTTACACTTTAGAAAAACTAATCAAAAGATACTTGTTTACCATGACTTCTGATCTTAAAATTCCACTGCAAAGAAAATAGTTGCCCTATCTCGCTTAGAAAATCTTCAAACTTTGAAATACCCTATTCCACAAAACAAATATCCACCTTGATAGGATTCTTCACTACCTCATAGCTATTATTCCTTCATTACTCACTCAATACACTTTAATTGAGTGCCTGCTATTGATCTAACAAGAACTGTGCGTGTGTACACACACACACACACACACACACACACACATACACACAGAAAGATGAAATCCTAGAAGTCTCTCATCTAATCTTTTCTCTGTATACCAAAGAATAAAGTGCTACACTGTGAGTTACTGGGTATAAAAACAGGAATTTGGAGAAAAGAACGAAAAGGGAAGACAAAGAGAAATGGTTTGAACCAGGATAGTCAGAAATGAGCACTTTCTTAAAATAGTGAGAGAAGATGACTTTAAAAGAAGTGCAAGATGTGGGTGGGGATGATAATTAATTTAAAGTGTGGTACTAATTTCCTCTTTAGATAGAAAGAGGTTTTTTGAAGACAGAGTAAATTGAACACTATGATGAAGAATACAAGTCAAAAGGGATGATTTAGAGCTCTTATTAAGACTGAAGGCTGAGTTTGAAATGATCAGTACTATTCTGAGGGAGATTAACTAGAAGGTTACTACAATATACTCTATAAGGGGAAGACAGTCTGGATTTGTGCCAGAAAACAAGTAAAAGGAGAAACACACAGAGTGTGTGGGGGTGTGCAGATACGCATGTGTATTATATGTATATACATGTGTATAAATATACATATAGTAAAAGGCTAGATATAAATCTGACAACTATACATTCGAAATTTTCCAAACTAGTTCTAAATTTTCTTTTAAAGAAAAGTTTAAATGTATGATTAAGCATAATTGATTATATTTATATACTTTTTAAGAGTCTTCCGGTAACTCAAAAGGTGGAAAATTAAGATGTTGCATTACTATTTTATGAATGCCAAATTTTAGTTAATGTTGATATAGGGGATAATAAAGAAAAGATCCAAAAGAACCTAGAAAATGCTACCACTGACCTGAATAGTACTGTATTCTTAGAATGTCTAAGTATTTGCCTACCTAGAATATACATCACATTCTCAGACACTACCCTCTCTTCCAAGGCTAGCTCCTCTTAGAATTTCCCATGCTGAATGGCTCCATCTGTTCACCACCGGGGCAGGCCTCCTCCAGGATACAGCAGGAGTCTTCTTTCCAAAAGCCCCTGCGTGGTCTTCTGGTACACCACTGAATTTCAATAGGATTTTAGCTATTTTCCCATAGAGTAAACATTTGGTTACGGAAAACCAAACTCCAAAGAGGGTCCTAAACATGCATCATTATTTCAATACATTTGCCTATTTTCAAATAATATTTTACTATTGAAGGTAACAAAAACAAAAAAACAAACTGACAATTTTGAGTTTCACCAACTCTATATCCTACCCTATTCCTTCCTTAAGGGCTGATAAATTAAATAGCTGAAGATTAAATGGTGAGGTTAAAAAAAAAAAAAAAAAACAGGAAAAAAGTACCTGGACTAGTCACAAAATAAATAATTTTTATAATTTTGAACAGATTATATTAAGACAAATGTTAAAAATTAGAATTAGCCAAAGACCACAGAGAACTTAGAAGAATTAAAGAATTATTTTAAATAATAAAAATGTAAATATATTTAATAACCTACAAAACAAATATGCTAGTTTGTATAATGTCAATGTTAATTTTCAGTGTTTACCATGTTTATCATTTCAACAATATTACAAATGTATAACATTTTTAATAGGGTAACTATAAAGGGTTAAAACAATTTTTTAACTCAATCTCACAGAGATGTCTAAAACAAATTTAAATGTCTGTTACTGAAATCAAATTTATAAATGATATGAGCTTTTTAATGATTCAACTATCCTTTAAGTTTTCCTTTAAGTGGGGCATGGTGGCACTCGCCAGTAATCCCAACAGCTCGAGAGGCTGAGGCAGGAGGATTACTAGTTCAAAGCAATCAGCAACTTAGTGAGGCCCCCAGTAATTAAGTGAGACCCTGTTTCTAAATAAACTACAAAAAAGGACTGGAGATGTGACTCAGTGGTTAAGTGCCACTGCGTGGTACTGAAAAAAAAAAATTCCTTTAAATGTTAAAGGAAAAAAATAAGAAAGCAAGAATAAGTTCAAAAGCAAATACTAAGTCTGATCTATTTATTTCTAAAATATTTCTTGATATCGTGGAAAAAGCACATAAATTGGAAATCTAAAGAACTTAATACCAGTTCCAGCTCTGCCACTAACCGAAACCTTGGCAAAGTTACTTCTCTGGCCTTCATGCTTCTTAGCTTTTATAAGGATCTGAAATGAACCATTCCTTATGGTCAAAAATCTGTGCTTTTAATGACATGGTTTGAAAGCAAATTAGGGAATAGAGTAAATAAGGACAGAAAAATAAGGGAAAGCATGACTTAGGAAATAAAGAGAAAGGCATGAAAATCCAAATAGATTTTGGCTAAAGTTTATATGATAAGCCATCTTCTAATTCTGTATTGTTTTCTACCAATATCATCAGTCCCCCAACACGAAATGTCTCTTGTAGATCCTGCAAAAACAAATTGATCCTACTTCCAATGGAAGTACCTCCAATTTAAACTTTCTGGATGACAGAAGTTAAACATTATTTCTGCAGAAAGCTATGATAGTTTTTAGCAGTATTCTTTAAAAGAAAAAAATAAATAAATAAAGTTTTCACTCAAAAGAAATAAAATATAAAGACCATAACAGCTCAAAATAAGCTAACAAAATATTGAGTAGATGACCCATATGTTATGATTGATAGGTACAATTCCTTGATGACTGATAGGCAAGATTCATTCAAAAATATCTTAAATTGCTTCAAAGTTAAGTAATGAAGTAGTCCTAAGAAATGTCAAATTACTCAAAACATGAAAAGGCTTTAATCCATACAAATAATTATACCCTTCTATATGCTTAATGGTTGTGGTAAGGGCTTTATATTTATTATTTTAATCTGTTCTTGAAACAAATCTTCAGAGTAGTTATTATATACTTTCATATGTAATAACTAACTCGTATTGAGTTCTTTCTATATAGTAGGCCATATCCTGATATTCATTTAGACCTCATAATAACACTAAGAGGTAAATATTATTCTCCCCCTTTCACTGATAAAGTGACTCTCCTTACAAGTGACTTCTATAGTAGCTAGAAAAAATGCAAATGAACTCTGCTTTACCACTAACTTACTCTACCAGTGTTTTCCAAGTTGTAAGTCTAAAATCAATTTAACAGATTATAATTGACTTTCATAAAAAAGAATACCATGTTTTGAATAAATTAAGATACTTTTTCAAATATATATGTATATATACATCTATGCATAGGTTTCTATTTATGTTCAACATGAAAAAAATAGATTTCTCACTGTGAACAAATATTTTTCAAAAACACTACACAAGGACTGATGAACATTGGTAGAACCCTTGCCTAGCATGTGCAGGGCTCTGGGTTTGATCCCTAGCACTCCAAGAAAAAAAGAAGCAGGAAAAATAAAAGCCACACTAAACATTGGAACTAGTAATGTTAAAAGAATTAGTAATGTTAAAATCTAAAGTTGAGGTAAAGGGAAGAGTCTGGGATCTCAAAAATAAACATTAATTCTGAAAACAAATTAAAAAAAAAAAAAAAACCTTTTCCAAAGGCTACGACTAGCAATGATAGAAATGCCAATACCAATAAAAAACAAAATCAGCTATCTTTATACTTTGTTTCATTTAATCCTCACAAAAATCCTATAACAGGTACTATTTTTCCCACCTTGTCCAGATGGGGAAACTGAAGTATAAAAGTCTAAATAACTTGGCTAAGATCACCCAGCAAGTAAAAAGACTAGAACTAGAGCTTTTATTAAGCCTGGCTGAAACCAAACCACAAAGTCTTTTTCAAGCCCTGTGCTTGCGAAGAGGAAATAAGTACTACTCTCACAGTGTACATTTCCAGGAATAAATCTGTATTCTAGAATACAAAGTATCATGTAAAAGGGAAATGCTAGAATATACTAATTTACACAATCATTTGAATCATTCCAAGTCTCCTGAACAGATGTTTGCCTACCTGGTAGAAACCCATCACAAAAATAACAACTAGTTTCAAAAGCAATATGAAAAATTTAAAGGAAGATCATAAAGGGCAAAGAAAGTACAGAGCTTTAGTCCCCATGATTTTTTATAATAACATGGTTACTAACAGACTAGAATAAACTAAAATATCCAACCATAGTGTACCAGTTTACTATATTTTAATATACATTAATACATGTTAAATATACTTTAATAATAAGCAGTCTTTTTCTTTTCTTTTTTTTTTTTTTTTTTTGTGGTGCTGGGGATTGAACCCAGAGCATTGTGTATGAGAGGCAAGCACTATACCAAATGAGCTATATCCCCAGCCAATAATAAGCAATCATTTTAAAGTGATGTTGAAAAATATTTAATGAGGGCTGGGGTATAGCTCAGTGGTAGCGTGTTTTCCTAGCAAGCACAAAGCCTTGGGTTAGATCCCCAATGCCACTCCAAAAAATAAAAAATGAAAAATAAAATGACATGGAAATATATTAATAATATAACAGGCAAAAAAAACAGATTGAAAAAGATTGAAACTATTTCATTAAAAACAAGAAGTATCTTTCACCATTTCTGTGATGAAAAGAAATCAGAGAGTGAGTCTGGATAGGGAGCTTAGGAGATGGCAAGTTATACAAATCTATTTACTTGCTAGGGCACATGCTCTTTGGTAGGTAGAATAGATTCCTGTCTCTATTTCAATTTTTCTCTTCTTTCTTAAAACTTTTCCTGAGTATATAGTTGAATTTACCTAAGTTAAGTGCAAAATTCTATTGTATACATTCTAGATATACATTTGTACATATAATCAGCCCTCTGTATCCATGGGTTCTGCAACCATGGATTTAATCAAGCATAGATTGAAAATATGCCAAAAAAAATTACTGTGCCTATACTGAGCAGGGACACATTGTTTTCTTGTCATTATGCTGTGAGCAATACAGTATAATAACTACTTAGGTAGTGTTCACATTGTATTAGGTGATATAAGTAATCTAGAAAAGATTAAAAGTAGATGGGGAGATATATACGTTAAATGCCTTTATATAGAAAGACTTGAGCATTGAGTATTTTGGAATCCAAGAAAGTCCTGGAACCAAACCTCTTGGATACTTAGGATGACTGTTTTTATTTTAAAAAAATTTACATAGAAGAAAGTCTAGAAGGCTATATTCCATAATATTAACAAAGATTATTATTAGGTGGTGAAATTAAAAGAGCTTTTCATTTTCTTAATTATATTTAGCTATATTTTCTGAATGTTCTTCTAATGAACATACTGCTTCTATAATTAGATTTATTAAAATTGATATAGTAAACAAATACAAACAAATGCACACACATTGTTCTCAGGAACAATAAGATTAACATTTTAATTTACAACAGCAACTCTACTCTGTGAGCTCAGAATCAAATAGAAAGAATACTGTCTAGTTGTACCTCTAGAGCTTTCTGTTGCAGCCGGTCACGTTCTTCTTTTTCTTTGCCAACAAACCACACCTCCCATGGTGTCAGGCTGCTTTCTCCTAAGTGCACCTGTTTCTGTTCTTCTTGGTTATCTTCTGATTCAACTTTACTGCTATGAAAGAAAGGATACTGTAGAACTTGTACACGAAATACTTCTCTTACTAGTCAAAAATCATTTAACTATACAATGAAAACAAAATCTAACATCATATTTTCGATACTGTTATTTTAAAAACATGAATCAATTATATAAAGCAAAAATATGAAAAATCAGGAAAAGGAAATCTAATTTTGAATGACTTTACTCATTTAGTTATGCCACTCCCTTCAAAAAACAAATTATTTAAAAACCCAATGGAATAACTTGAGCCCAACCTATGTGCCTCAAGGTCACTTGAGGAAATTATTTATTCCTAAAATTTTATTTTTTTTATTCCTAAAAATTCTATCTATACAAGTAATCACTAATTACTACTAGTACACATAATCTTTTGTAGGTGTGTGTGTGGTACCAGGGGTTGAACCCAGGGCCTTGGACATGCCCCTGAACTATATCTCCAGCCCCACTACCACATACACACATATACACATAACTTTAATCAGATCCTGGGGCAGACCTTTCCCTTTCCCTCCCTTATATAGCATAGAAAAAAAAGTAATGTGTACATATATACCGAGAAAATGATAAAAAGCAAATAATTTAATAATTAGGAATTCTGGGTAAAGGATGAACAGAAGTTTTTTATATTCTTTTTTCTTTAAATTTGAAATTATTTTGAAATAGAAAGCTATAGAAAAAATATACCCTTCTCTTTTTCAGTGCTGGCAATCGAAGCCAGAGCCTCATGCATGTTAAGTATACTCTGTACCAATTGAGCTACACCCACAACTGCTGTGGCCCTTCTCTCCTTCAACATTTAATATTTTGTTTGACGACCTTTTGCCAGTTCTTAGAGTATACAAGACTCTCCAATCTGGTTATCTCTTATTGTCCTCATTTCCACTTTGTACCTTCTGTCAGTCTGACTCTTCCGGGTATACAGAAAATTAACTATATGAGTAAATAAAGAACAGAAGGACTTGGCTGGATACATAAGCCTCACAAAACTTATGGAAAACTTAACAATCAGCACTCACGGATAGGAAGATTGTTCAGTACCCAACATAGCTCCAGGGGCGAGTTTATTATATAGACTCAGGTGTGTTTATCTTCAACATTGTTCCTTCTAACAAACAATTGCCTTACAACTGCTTTGTACCACTTTTTCTATCTCATAGATTCAGGTTCCCTAATTTTTTTTTGGGGGGGGGTTATGTTATTTAATCATCCATTCATGTCTTTACAGAACTTGTATTCTAAGTGGAAAAGAGACATTGTTAATATATTATTTCTTAGGCACATCTTTCCTTTTCAGTCTTGCATTATGATCTCATCTGTTCTCAGCTTCAACTATCACTATATGCTGGTGATATCTGGATCAGCTATTCTGGGCCAGATCTCTATCTTAAGTTCCAGACTTATTTCCAACCATTTGATAGACAGATCCATGATATTGAACTCAGTCAGTTGAAAAAAAAAATCTAAGCATTTTCCAGCATCCACCCCCCTCTTTCTTCCCCACTAAGAAAAAGTTTACTCCTCTTATAATCCTAAGTGAATGTTACCACCATCCACCCAGTTACCTAATCCAGAAATCCAGATCTGACTCCACCGGCTCCCCACTCCATGTCTGACTCCTCCTACCCTCATGCCCATATAATCACTAGTCATGTCAATTCTACATCCTTCAATTTTCTCAAGTGATTCTCTTCTCCAACCTTTCAATCACTCCAAACATAAACAGTCTCTAGCCTTCCCTTTTAAATCATTCTCTAAACCTATTGCCAGATTTGCCCCTCCAATGCATCCTTTTATCATGTAACTTCTCATCTCAAAGTTCTTCAGGGGCCCATTTGCGCACAGGATGAAATCCAAACTCCTTAGCCTGATATCCATAAATTGACTCCTGTCTTTCTTTTCATAAATGGGTGATCCAGACTCTACATTTCAGTCATGTTGAACTTCTGTGGGTTGGTAAATGCATTATGGTGTTGTGCTCTGCAGCTTTTGCCTAAAACTGAAATGCCTTTCCTCACCTCCACATATGGCCAGATTAAGAGCTTACTTTTGTGAGTAAAACAGCCTGGGGATAAAATCTGTATCTGCTTCTTCCTAGCTTGTGCACATATTTAAATTTCTTTAAAAAAGAGATCTCATCTGTAAAATGAAGATGACAGTAGTAGCTGCATGAAAAAGCTAAAGCATTTAGTATAGTTCTGGGTCCTCAGTAAGTATATGGTATGCCATTTATTATAATTATTACTATAACTCCTATTCTTCCTTCAAGATTTTATTCTGATACTATATTGTCTGGGAAACTGTCTAAAAACTTCTGGATTAACTGCCTTGGGTTTCCTGTCACTGATCTCCCTCTGCCACAGGCCATGAGTTCCTTAAAGAAAAGAACATGAATAAATAAATAAATAAGAACATGGCTGGTTGTGATAGCTTAGACCTGTAATCCCAGCAATGTAGGAGGCTGAGACAGGAGGATTGTAAGCTTGAGGCCAGCCTGGAAAAATTAAAAGGTTTAGGGCTGTAGATTAGTAGGCTATAGATTAAAGCACCTTGGATTCAATCCCCAGTACTGGAAAAAAAAAAAAAAAAAAAAAAAGGAAAGAAGAAAACCAAATAGGTCTTGACTGAGGGTCTAGATTATGAAACACTGTTGAAAGAAGAAATTAGTCAAATCAGGTTTTTTTTTTTTTTTTTTTTTTAGATAACACTTTAAATACTTCCTGCCTTAACATTTTTAGCAAACATGTTCAAAATGTATAGCATATAAACTACAGGTATACCCATAATAAAGAAAGGCTTCATAATTAGCTATTTATGACAAGAAACTTATTAAGGCACAACTTTCCTAACTGTAGTTATATGAAAGTCAGAAAAGAACTAAATAGATAAGCAGTAGGCCCAAAGCATATTATAAAAGACTCCAGAAAAATACTTTTCATTATCTTGTCTTGAGGTCATCTTTGATCATCTTCTCAATCCCAGCCAATACACTTGAAGGTCAATCCATCTTTTAAGCATAAGTCTATTTGTACTGAAAATTATCTTGAGGGATTGGGGTGTGGCTGAGTGGCATAATGCTTGCCTAGCATGTATGAGGCCTAGCACACACACAAATCTGAGCACATAGAGATATGTGCAGCCAATGCCTGAGTCTATCTCAAAGAAGCATTACTCTACTGGTATGCCATAATTAGATGTAGCTGGTAAGGGACAGAGAGAGGCATAAAATCCCAGAGCTCTTGGTTTCTCTTTACAGAGGATGCTGATAGCCCAAAACAATGGCTGGGCTATGACTCAGGCTGCCTTCCCTCATCTCATCCCATACAAGCTATCCAGAACAACAACTAAGGGAACACAGTAATCTTTTAAAAAAAAAAAAGAAGAAGAAGAAGTGCTAGTTTTTCTGAACCATTTGAAAATAATCATGGTATCTAACTATTCTCCAAGAAGGAGAAACAGGAATTCATTCAACACATATTTATTGAGTACCTAATAAGAATCTGACACTTGCCACACACAAGACCTAACAAATTCTCTTTCTAGACCCACATCCTCAGTATTCTTTTGACTCATGGGGAATGAAATGTGCTTAGGCAGCCTTAGCCCTATTAGCTCATTCAGGCTTTGGGTGAGACATAGATAGGTCTGGCTCCTCCCTTGGCAGGTTCAGTTTGATTAGCATTTTGGCTTGTGGAAGCTAATGCAGGGTCTCAGTAGTTGAGCTGCAGTTTTTCATGGCATTTATTCCTCAGGCTGATAAACTATGTCTACATTGTTTAGTCCTGTTAATTATGCTCAGAAGGTATTTCACACATCTTTAAAATTCATTTTAAAAATATCTAATACCCACTAAGTCCTAAAGAGTCCCTACAAAGCATAGATGAAAATGGTCTCCTAAAACCCTAACTCTTACCACTGAGTCTATGGGGTTAATACGAGATGGCCTCTTTCTTGTTTTTTCAAGCAGCCTGGACAGCCTGCATGGTTACTCTTCCTGGTTTCCATTCCCACCAACATACCTCTCATCTTTAAAAGAATAACTTTTGTAACCATGTATGGATCATTTCATATGGTTCCACATTCTATTCATTCATTCCTTATATAGAGAGGGGCCATCTTGTCACTTACACATAAAGTATGGGTTCTCTGGTCTGCATTTTTTAGGTCTCCTGTATTGTTCCTTATATAGTTTGATGATCAGAAACTTGTAAATTGGCTTCTGAAGATGACGTTTACCCCCAAATAGACCTACAATATTACATATTCCTGCAGTGATAGGTCTTTTGCTTCTATTTCTATACTCCCCAAAATAGTCATGCTGTATAAGAGGAAACCCTGATCAGTTTACCTCACTACTAGGCCCAGGTCTGCTAATAAGTTGGTGTATGCCTTTGAGTCAGACTTTTTATTTGTGTTTTGTGATACAGTTTTATCACCTGTAAAATGAGTGGACCGAGATGGGCTTTAATTTAATAAAATCTCGTATATTTTATTTATGGTCCCCAGTACCTAAACTAATATGTGACAAAACATAGATGTTTGCTGACTGAATCAATGTAGAAATAAACATTATGATGGTTTTTAATAATCCCTTTGCTTCAAATATTCTTTGATACAACAATAACTATTCCACTGAAAGTTCGTCCTCAGATCAGACACAACCCTGCCTCTGCATGCTGTCGTGGACTAATCTCTGTGCTTCAGCTCTTTACACTATTACAACCTACTACATAAAACACATTTTGGAACTAAGATTATGGACAAGAGTTCTTCAGTTCACCATCTGCATTTCTGAGGATTCGTAAAACTCCTGAAATAGAAGCAGTTTTGTGTGTTCGAGACTATATACGGGCCATTTTTAAAGGAAACTGAGATAGCAGCAATTAAAGGGCTAAGAATCAGAAAACACGTCATCTTCAAGAAATGGCCCAGGACTCTCTGCAGAAAGGGCTGCACTTAAGCATGCAGGCGCCTGCTCAGCCTCTAAGGTGGAAGACAGCAGATTGTTTTGGTTTGCTGAAGGTACTTGGAAGGGTCCAAGGAACCTTGGGACCGGTAGTATCGGTCGGGCAGCCTCAGGTTTACCTGGCGCGCCCCGGTAACTCCGTTCCTCTCAGGCTCAACACCTCGGCCTCTACGTCATGGGCATCTTCGTCCACATCTTCCTCATCCTCTCCGTCACCATGTTCATCGTCAAACGAGAAGCTCTGGTGGCCGAGGGGAGACAACAGTGACATGGTGGAATTGCTGCAGCTCTGAGGCGGCGGCGACGAACAGATAGACGTCGCCACCGCCCCCAGCCTCTGCCCCCTGGGACCCGTCATGAGGACGGAGAAGGAGGCCACGGAGGGCTGAGACTCGGAACTGCAGTCCACGGAGAACAGGATGCCGGGAGGGGAAGAAGCAACACTCCACCGCCCCACAGCCCGCATCTGGCCCGCCAAGTTCAAACCGGCCGAGCTGCGACGAGGACGTGCTCTCCCAGCAGGCCCCGCGCGCACTGGGCCCGGCCAATCCGGGTCGGCCCCGATGCCGCGTTGCCATGGCGACCCGAGGAGGACGCGAGGGCTTTGTCCGGGCCTGTGGAGCGTGGCTTCCTCTCCTTCTGCCCTTCTTCCTGTGTCTGGAAGGTGCCTGTTGCTTGTGAACTTGTTCAACTCTGCGTCTCTTCCAGCTGACACCTTCGGAGACCTGGCCTTTTTTTGAGGTGTTGTTGCAGACCATTTGGTATTTGAAATAACGTTATTACTGAATACAGCAACTCCTTTTAAAGGGAAAGAGGCAGAATTAAGGACTAACGTCCATCTCTCGCCCCCACCCCCCACCCCAACACACACACCTAAGGTCGGGATTATACGCACCAATCTTGATTTCCTTGAACAGGTCATGTTTTTTTGAGGGCGGGGTAACTTTAACTTTACAAGTGTATCCAAGAAAGCGGGTTTAGGTGGCCTGGGGATATAGCTCAGTGGTAAAGTGCTTGCCTAGTATGTATGAAGCCCTGGGTTCCATCCCTGCTACCAAAAAATAATGCAGGTTTAGGACCATGTTTTAGTGTTTTGATACATCTTGTTTGCCTGGCGTCTTAAAGGCAACTAGTCTGTCTACACCTGTGAATTGTTTTTACTTTTTAAGCCTCTATTATGTGCTAAGCCTCTAGCCTTTGCTAAGCACTGGGGTAAACGATGCTGTTACTCTAAATTCCTCATCTTTTGGTGGCGACTAATATAATTAAAATATGCTGTGATGTGTATTTTATGAGGAAAGAATATTTTGTGGGAACTCAGGGATTGGAGATGGGGATAAAGGTAGCAAGAAAGATGACAGACATTATAAAACTGGATGCTTTATTTATACTGACAAAATTGCATACACTGGTGAAAATTTAGCTCTGTCCAGTTCATAATTTGTATAACTGGTAAAAGTATCATGTGAAAACGGACGGTGGCTAAAAATAGCACATAAAGTTGTTACTGATCAAAGAGTAATACAGAATCCTTGATGAAGTTTAGATTACAAAATTTGACACAGGACAATGAGATATGATAAAAATATTAACAATCAAAGACATTTCTGGAAGCAGAAGCTATAATAAAATGATATGCCAGCTAGGGGCATAGAGCATGTGAGACCCTAAGTTTGATTCCCCTACCACAAAAAAAAAATATATATGCATGCTTAAAACTTCTTAAATGGAATATCTTTAAATTTTAGTAACAACAGTGAAATGAAGAAAATCAGAGCAATCCAAATGAGTAATAAATTGATCAAGGAATAAAACGTATTTAGTAGCGTTTTTTTTATTCTCTACCTCAATAATTCAATATTGGCATGTCTGGCTAAAACCTTTCATTAGAACATTTTTAGAATCAGTAATATCAAAAGACCCTAAACTGTTTTAGGACTTCACAAGGAAGAAAGCTTTAGAAGCAATTTCCCAATAGACATAATCTAATGCAAGCACAGTGGAAAACTCACAGGTTTTATCTATGAAAGAAAAATAATTTTAATCAATAGTTTAATCAATAATTTCTCTTAATAAATTTCCATAAATAAGCTGTTGACCTTTCTGATCCTAATTTACTCCTCTATAATATTAAGGAAATAATCTATCTCACAGTCATATTATCTAATTAGTCCTCAAAATTTCTAGTTCAGGATCTGACAGATATAAGAGTAAATTGTATCACTTGAATGCCAAAGCTTTTCCACTGTAACTTTTTGGTATTGGAATCTAAAATGTCATATACTTCCCTTCCTCCTTTAGATGTTTTATTTTTTTAAAAAATGCTTTATAAAAGAAAGTCCTTTCCTTCATGCTTCAGGGTCATCATTATGACAATTACATTATATGTTAACAATACTGGAGACCCAAAGACTTTGGGGCAGTTCCATGCTGTGGGTACACGTATTTGAATGTAGTCAAGTCCTGTGGTCTCTTATACTGCCTTTACATTATTGGGGCCAAGAAGTCATAAAGAAGGGTATAAAAAGCATTAAAAGATTTTTTTTTTCCCATAAGTTTTAGGATATTACTTAGTAATGTCTTTTCTTCCTACTCATTTATTTTCACTTTCATGGTATATTTGAGATTTTTTTTTTTTTTTTTTTTGCTGGTTCTGTAACCTGTAAGTGAAGAATGACTTTTCCTTACAAATTCCTGTATGACATTGTTACAAAAATCATGCCATTTTTAGTTAGCTTTAAAAATAATTATTCCTAGACATTTACAGATGAAACAATGTGTCTGGATTGCTTCAAAATAATCTAAGAGGCAGAAGGATTGAGGGGGCTAGTGAATAAGGTGAAGATGAAACAGGGTTTACTGTGTGTTGTGGTTTTGGGGGTGGGCATGGGAAGGGGAGAGGGAGAGGGGTACCTAAACCATTCTTTTTGTTGTGAAAATTTCAAACACATATGAAGTTTAAAACAGGAAGAGGCATACACATTTACTAACACATACAAACACATAAAGTATGTCCAAAATTAAGAGGAACTAAGTTTTGATTGGGATCTAATTTGCTGTGGTTCAGGGATTCACTTAAATTTCATTAAACCCTTTGTTTTCTCATTTGTCCAAAGAGAGCTTGGAGATTGTGATACTACGTATCTAGGCAACTGACTACAATTAATATCATGTAGATATTTTTAATCACTTGTTTTTAAATAAAGATTGAATTGGTGGTATTCACTTACATTTCACAATATGTTTTCCATGATATAGTTCAGATTTAAGACAGGATAAAAGTTTTAAGTTTCAGCCAAGTGTTCTTAAATATTTACAGATAACTATCAAACAATATTTTCTAATGGTTACTTTCAACATTTTTTCTAATACTGTCTTTTCTATTTAAAACTTTTTAAATTTGTCTCCATAATAGTAAGTAAATACATTAACATACTTAGTTACAAATTAAGGCAAAATAGATTGCTTTCTAGAAACTTTAATAATTCAAAACATAGAGTACAATATTGTATTTCATACAATATATAGCACAGTTTACCACAGATTTTATATATCTGCTATTCTATTTTTAAATGAATGAAAAGTTTTCAATAACTTGAATTTTGAGAAAACAAGTTTAATTAAGATTCTTACCAAGTTATGATTTAACATTTATCAGATGTGTAAATATACAAACCATGATAGCAATTTTTAAAACTTGTAAATAGTTGGCCTTACAAAATTACAACACACTGTAAATAAATCCCTCCCACATTTTATACAAACTACATGATTTTGATATACAAAGATTCTGTTTTTACACTGACAATGTACAACCGAGACTATTTACAATGAAAAAAGTATATAAACCACAATTAAACATTCTGCTACTGGCAGCCACTATAGGAGGTAGCTTTAATTAAACGAAATGAACAGAAGCCATGTTTCCCAACTTGTGTTCTAAAAATAATTTACATAAGATAAAAATTCATTATATGCACAGTATGTACAGTTTAATTATTAAACTGCAATCTAGCTTAATTTTTTTTTAGTATATCCAGGATAATAATATGGCAGTGGGTTTGCTATTTAGTACATTGTTCAAAAAACATATAGAGCAATTATAACTTTAAGACTCCACAAAAAAACATGGCAGAAGACCCTAGATGAGAATCAGGTAAAATTTTTAATTTTCAAAGACATAGGACTAAGCCTTATCCTTTCCCCCCCCCCCTTAATGATATGTTTGTCTAGTCTAACCAGAGCTCAGCATATGAGCTATTGAATAGTTTTTTTTGTAAGTCATGGTATGGGAAAATTTTATAGAAGCTTCTAAGTAATAACATAAGTTTAGGAGAATCCAGTTCACTAAGAAATAAATTTAAGTGCTTGGTGTCATAATTATTTTCAGCTTCCTCCAATTACAAAAAAGAAAAAAATGACCCCAGTTTACTTTCTGTATAATCCAAACTATAAATAGATGACATACCAACAAAACTGGAAAATATCAGTAGAACCAATGATATTAAGAAGCATTTATTAATGGGAACATTACATGGAGCCATCAAATCCCTTAGGTACTATTAAAATCTCATTAGTAAGTAGTGTAGCCAAATCTACTTAAACTCACACATCAATTAGCCATTTATTTTGTACTAGTAGTATAATTGCAAAACACTGAAAATCATGGTGAGCGTAACAAAGCAATGTAAAATGACCCCAAACAAATGTACTGATTTTTTTTATTCTAACAGCTGTTAATATGGTTTTTAAAACATCTTCAGGTTTATATAGATTTATAAAGCAATTGAATGAAATTTATGATTCTCATGTAAAAGTGGAAATAGAAAACAATGACACCTATGTGTACTCTCACAGTTCTAGTTGGGAGACAATCCCTTTTTTGGCCCTGTAGTAAGTTGTCCTGAGATTAATGATCAAATATTAGGTAAAATTAGCAAGACTTTGTCAGTTATATAAAGTCACATTTTGAACTACCTTTTTAAAAAATATTAACAGCTGTCCTTTATCTTGTGCTTAATTCAGAAATAGGTATAAATTTGCTCCTTATGGATCTGAAAAATCTAAAAGTTATATTGCTATACCACACCCAAAATCCTTTTCAAGTTCTGTTTCAAATAGACCACACATTCCTTGGACATTGCATTTTCACCAATTAATAATTTAGGCACCTGTTCTTTGAAAAATGTCAGGTTTAAGAAATAAACTGCCACCTTCCCCTTCTATGTGACACCAGGCAGTGATTACAGAAGTGCTTCCCAGATGAAAGAACAGAATAGGGTTCACTCTATAAACACTGTGAATTTGGTTGATGGGGGAAACAGTTACAAACACAGTAGTTCAGTCTTTACCTCTTGGTAGATTGTAAGCGTAGCGCACCAAAGGGAATCCTCTGATAGAAGCAGGCTCATCCACACACCTGCACTTGGTCAGAACTGTCTGAGACAAAGGAGTCTTCTTCATCTGCATAGTCAGAATGGG